TAACGTGGTCTCCTGACCCATCAAAACATGCAATAGAGTAAAGTTGAAATCAGGACCAGGAGGAAAACACAGCCTGGAGCAATAACCCAAGACCGAGCACTGGAGCTGGAAGGTGCATTATAAGGCGGGCCCCTGGGCTCCGTGCCGGACTTTGGCTCTGAGCTTTCTGGGTCTGGAACAAAATGACTTATAGAATTGTTCAGAGCATTAAAGTAGAGAGAAATCACACCAATTCCTTCGGGAAGACAGAGAATTTCCCTTTTCTAGGGCTTTTGCTTTTAAGTTAGGAGATTGGCTAAATTTAAAAATTATGATAAATTCATGAATTTGAGGAAAAATCAGACTGTGAACTAGGTATTTCCCCCTGATGCCTTTAAATAGCAACTGCTTATGAAATCTTACTTTAAAAAATATTTTATCGAAAATAACATTTTACTTTTGGCAATAAGAATAAAAGCAAAGGTTTTCTTTAAAGCAGTTAGTTAGGGTGAACTTTTTTTCAAAATGGAAAACCACTGATGGTAAAGAAACATAGATGTTCAGTCTGCAGGCTGCCCCACTTGGAAGAAGGCAGGATGCCGGGACAGCGGCTCCCTGGGCTTCCGCACCTTGAGCGCCTCGCGGCACGCCGTGTCCCCAGCAGGCCCTTCCAGCGGCTGCACTCAGGGGAGCCATGCTGTCCTCCGAGTTGCCACTGGCATCATCAGAGGCTCACCACTGACCCGGGTCTGCCTTCCCCTACTCACTGTAAATAAACATAAAGACTGACTCACACTTGACTAACCGAAGCCCAGCTGTCTTCACAGGTGGGGCACACCGGGGGATCTTGGCTGAGGCTCCTCCTGCCTCAGCTGCCTGTGCCCACCTCCTCTGCAGTCAGGCAGCGTGGCCGTGGCCACCGGAAGGAAGGCCAGCTCAGCTGCAGGAAACAGCACTTCGCAGTTGTCCTGATGCCTTTCTGCCCCAGTTTAGCATGCACTAGCTTTGAAGGGTCATATTAGTTGAAAACTGCAGTTAATGTTCTATTTTAAACCTGTACTTTTCATACAGTATTTGCCTAAGTGGAAGAAACACCCAGCTAATTACCCAAGGGTTAGATCAACTGTTCCCACTCTGAAGCCACGCAGCAAGGACCGGGCACAACAGGTCCCACCTTACACTCTGCAGGCTTTTCCGTAGTTCATGGTCATAGACACATTACCTGGTCCCCCAAGCCTTGGTTTTGACAAAACAAGAGCCACTTCTTACAGCCAGGCTTACTTTGAAAGATTCCTTGTATAGAAGACAGGTGAAGTGTTTCCTTCCGCTCCAGGGTGTCCTGAGGGTGATCTGCGTCTGGGCCTCCTCGGCCTGCTGCCCGCTGGTGGGCCTGCTGCCCGCCTGCGCTCAGGATCCCCCCTGGGCAGCTCATGGGGCGGGGGGCTCATGCGCGCACTGGTGTCTCACGGTAAACCTGTGTGCTCTCCTGGTTTTCCACAAAACGAAACCAAACAGTCGCTGCTGGGACAGAGGTACGGAGCACGGAGCTCGGAGCTCGGAGCGATGGCGGCGGAAGGACGCGCGCCCCGCTGCCCTCCCGCGAGCGCCGCCGGCTCAGGAGCTGGGTCATGCCCGGGCGGCAGCCGGAGGGCCTCCAGCTGCGCAGGGTGGCCGTTTCCCTGTGCGGTTGTGAAACTGAGGCGGGGGAGGCAAGCCGGTGGAGGTGGGATGACGCTGGGCGCACCCCTAGGAGCGCTCTGCCGGCCTGCGGAACCGTTTCGGGGAGGCCAGGGCTGAGCCGGCGCCCAGGACAGCGCGCAGGGCGTGCGGGCCCTTCCGAGCAGTCACCGCGGGAGGGAGAGCGCCTGGTGGAGAAAGGCGTGATAATGCGGGGCTCTGATGTCTCCTCAGGCCAAAAAATGGTGGAAAGTACTGCGTGGGGCGCAGAATGAAATTCAAGTCCTGCAACACCGAGCCATGCTTCAAGCAGAAGAGGGACTTCCGGGAGGAGCAGTGCGCGCACTTTGATGGGAAGCACTTTAACATCAACGGCCTGCTCCCCACTGTGCGCTGGGTCCCCAAATACAGTGGAAGTGAGTGCGTGGGCAGAGGCGTGGCGGCGGGCCTGGGGGCCCTGGCGCAGGGTCACCTCCTGTCTGTCTCTCCTCTAGTTTTGATGAAGGACCGGTGTAAGCTGTTCTGCAGAGTGGCGGGGAGCACCGCCTACTATCAGCTCCGAGACAGAGTGATAGACGGAACTCCCTGTGGCCAGGACACGAATGATATCTGCGTCCAGGGCCTTTGCCGGGTGAGTACCGGAGTGTCTTCTTCACTTGCTGTTCTGGACTTCGTGGCTCTCTTGATGGGAGGGCTGTTGCTACTGTCCGTGGGCTGTGTCCCCGGCCTGGTTCTAGGAGTGTTTTCCCTGGAGCTTAGCGTCAGCGTTGCCTGCTCTGATGCACCTTGTGCAGTTGGACAAGCCCCACCCTGGACAGGGCTTGACTTTTTCAGCCCCTGGAAGGACATGCACAGGGCCTCCTCCCCCCCGACGGTTAGTGCTGCCAGCTTGTGCACAAGCACAAATACCTGGATGCAGTAGCTAATCCCAGATACTTCCGCACTACACGGTCCTAGATGGAACAGCTGTGCTCTATCTAGCAAGATCTCAGGAGGGAGAGATGAGACGCACCCTCAGATTTCTCTTCTCGATCTTAGCCACAGTTGCTTTGATCCAAGACTTGCCTATTCATTACTCTTGGGAGGTGAGCTGAGAAGTCTGGCAGACAGCGAAGCGTGTGAGCCGGGGTTTCTCGAGGGCTGGGTGCCCCTGCACTGTTCTCGCTGTCAAATCCATTGCTAACCCAGCTGCGCTGAGTGGACGTGGTCTAGAGGCAAACTGGAGTTCCTGGTCTGAGCACTGGCCCGAAAGAGCCTGCAGTGTCTTTGTTAGGAGCTTGCTGGGTTCCTCCTCCGAGATTAGTGTGCTCAAAGGAACAGAGTGCGCCCCGCGCGGGCACTCTTCTCTTGGCTTGGCCTGCAGCCATGGCCAGCATCCTCCTGGGCCTCCCCGCGTTGCACCAGTACTGCGTGTGATGAAATTCCAGAGGCAGGAGGCCAAGCGGAGGCTCAAGCAGGCCACCGTGGCCTGCTGTGCCCCGCACACATGGCCAGTGTGAAACACGGAGGATTGCACAGACGATCGCATTGCCCGCTCCTGAAACACGGAAATACCGACCCAGGGCTTCCCCTTGTGATGCCAGCGTGGCTGCGGCGGTCAGTGGCTTTCCCTGAAGATGAGCATGTGGGCTTCAGTTGGATGCCACCCTCACCACCTTCTCACGCCCTGTTTGTTTATTTATTTATTTGATGTATTTGGTACAAGGTCTCACTGCGCAGCTCAGAGCGATCCTCCTGTTTTCAGCCTCCTCAAAGTTGGGATTACTGCCATGCACCACCACGCCTGGTCTTGGGGCCAGCGCAGCTTGGGGCCGGGGGCTCGAACCCCAGTCCCTGACGTCGCCTAAGCAGGTGCTTAGTCCACTGAAGCTCTCTCACCAGCCCCTGCCCTCCATGGCGGATTTTCTCCTTTCCTGTGATTATTTGTAGATGATTGCGTCTCGCACTCCAGCCTGCACTCTGATTCCCTGGAGTGTAGCTTCCTAGCCAGCACCAGGATGCCCACGGCTGCCTCTCCAGGGACCGCATTTTAAGTAGCAAGGAGGTAGCCTGTTGGAATTTCAGTCACCGCTTGCCGTTTCCAAGGCACATTGCTTTATCCTCCTTTTGAAGGCATAGCACTCACAGAACACATGACTCACCACTTCAGTCTCTCCTTTGTACTGATCGTTCATTTCAAATGTTCTCTTTTCAAAAGCAAGCTGGATGCGATCATGTTTTAAACTCGAAAGCCCGGCGAGATAAGTGTGGAGTTTGTGGCGGCGATAATTCTTCCTGCAAAACTGTGGCGGGGACATTTAATACTGTACATTATGGTAAGAATCCGCTCCCAAGAAGCACAAGAATGCAAAGCATCCGTTACGCGCACGCAGCGAGCGAAGGTGCTAGCGCCAAGCGCGACACGTTCTCGCTGTGCCCATAGCCTCGCGGTCTAGCCGAGGCCCTCGCGGTGAGAGCGGTGCCGTCGCGGCGCTTTCCGTCCCCTCTGGAGAGCTGACCTTTCACTCCTCCCTTCCAGGTTACAACACTGTGGTCCGAATTCCAGCTGGTGCTACCAATATCGATGTGCGACAGCACAGCTTCTCAGGGAAGCCGCAGGATAACAACTACTTAGGTGAGGCCGCTGCTCCTGCCACCTGCAGCCACCTGGCTGTGCGGTGCCGTCTCTGCGGTGCCTTCTTTGCTCTCTGGCACGTGGCGAGCTTGCAGCTGTCACGACGCTCACAGACGCTGGTGTTGGGAATCATTATGTCATTTCTCTCCTGTGGCCACACCCTGGAGCATCTGATGCCGTTACAGGGTTCAGTCTCAAGGGCCTGTCTCTGGGGTTTACAAACTGGCAGACTCCAAGTCAGATTTTCATTGTCCTTACTGATGAGCCTAAAACCATTGCTCTCTCAGTGAGTCTTTGAAAAAGACCTGTGTGGTGGTAAGTGCCTCGCAGGTGTGTCCTTGGAGGGAGCCTGGCTTAGTTCCCGAGCTCCCGGTGCTCCTGGGAGCAGCCCATTGGTGGGCCTGCTGAGTGTCCTCCGGGCCCGGTCGCCCTCAAGTCTGTGGCGGCACCTGTTTTTCTCAGGTCATTACTAGCGTGGCCTGCTCCCTTACCTTAGATTCTTCATCCTCCTCCCCGGATTAACTCCTGTTCAGTCCTTCCACGTAACCACATAATTAATTCTTACCTGTTTCTTGTGCTTCAACCACAATACCCCAAAGGCCTGTATGGTTTTTAGCTGTTTGCCTAGTCCAGCCCCACTTCAGTTCCTTATTTTCTAAACTGCTATAAGTGATTATCAAATTTGTCCATTGCCCTTTATGCTGTAGTGACGGGAAGGGACCTAGCTGGCCACTTTGCACCCAGCACCCCCCCCCCAGCCCCCGTGAGTCCAGCCTCAGCTGCTCTTGACAGGCAGGCAGTCTTCTGCAGGCATGAAGGCTCTGTCTGACTCTGCCCTTCTCTCCCTCCCTCCCTCCATCTCTATCTATCTCTCTCCCTCCCTCCCTCCCTCCCTCCCTCCCTCCCTCTCTCCCTCTCCCTCCCTCCATCCATCCCTCCCTCCCTCCATCCACCTCCCCCTCCCTCCGTCTCTCTCCCTTCGTCTCGTCCTCCCTCTGTCTTTCTCCCTCCCTCTCTCCATCTCTCCCTCCCTCCCTCCATCTCTCTCCCTCCCTTCCCTCCCTCCATCTGTCTTTCTCTCTCCCTCCCTCACT